CCATTGAATTTATCTTGATCATATGTCCTCCATCTAGCCAGCAGAATTCTGCAGCGTCAGGACCTTTTCTCATTACGTCTGTCACCAAGTCTAGGGTTTGGTTGTAAATGTACCCGCTTTCAACTGGGCAGTCAACTGCAGGAAATAATAACAAAAACAGCAGAATAATAGTTCTAGTACAATTTTTTTGTATTGTCCATTCATAATATCTCAATCACATCGGATCAACATTGTGGAGTTTGTCTTAACTCTGTAACGAACAAGACACAACAATTTTCAACAAAATCGATAGATATTTTGAAATCTATTTTCTAATCGATTGAAAGTTTTTTTGGTATTTTGGGCCCTTAATGGTCTCTTAGCTCATAACATTTTTGTGTATTGCTTCAATCACGAATTACTATATGCAAAACAAGGGCAGTCTATGGGGTTGTTTATTAACTTTTGTCGCCTATGAGAATAATTGAAATGACAAACAATATTTAATCTTACCTTTCTTTATGTAACATTTCCAACCATAATCAGTAAAGATTCCCGCCATATAGATACTGAATATTGTAGTGTATAACATACACTGTCTATCGGCAGCATTGTACGACATCGATAGACAGGACGCATTGCTGCCACAATTGGCAGCACATTTTAAAACACTCACTGTTGACATAGCAACACTTGAATTATCTACCAGCCGGACATCTTGCAAGTAGGATATTTCTGTGATTTCTGAGGAAATGTACTCGGACGAACAGGTCGCAGTTAAGGACAAGTATAGCAGATGAAAAAACATAACTTTTCTTCGACTTTTCCCCTAAACATCTGGACACTCAACGAAAATTGATGCAATGTTTTATGTTCGTAAAATTATATCTGAGTAACTTAATGGGGTTATTTAAACAGGAGATTGACCACCTTTCATAATCACAATGAGCGTATTTATAGTGTTTCTCCTGTAAAAAAACCTCAAACATCGCTGTAAATTGAAGGCATTATCTATGTACACAACAAATGTAATGTAAGTTATTGAGCAGATTGACCATTTCCCCTCGTTCAGATGTCAATATATTGGTTTAAACGGCTGTTACAGGAGAACTACTTTAAACATTTTTTTTTTTTTTAGAAAAACATCAACGTTGAAGAAAATGCACTTTAGATGTCTTCCAAATTCAGTTCATTCAAAATTATTTAGCATATACATATCTCTACCTCTTACCCTAGCCCTACAAAAAGATCGCATCTTAACCACTTCTGCTTTGACGTGTATCACCACAAAGACGTGTCGAATGATAGCGGACAACGGAGACCATCCTGTTACATTCCAAACATTCACGAACCGTGCCGACATGTCCTGAAATGCCTATATCCGTCAAGTATAATTAGGACGTTAAATACAATATGCTATAAGATCGGTATGTGTGCGAAGTGTTTTAAGAATAATCAGCAAAGAAAGTCCAACCTGAAAGTCAAAACTTGGTGTTGATGATGAGATGTGAGAGACATCCCACTGTTATCCATAGAGGATCTATTTTACGGCCAGTTTGCCGATGCAAAATGCACATTATGTATCCAGAGTTTCAATCAAAACTCGATTATATTGCCCAAGCGCGCAAAACGCCAACTCGTCTTTCATTACAAACTGTGGTGTCCGTGTTCATCACGTATTTATTCATATAATCTCATAGGGAAAGATCTTAACCCTAACTTTGAAATCTGCACTGATGAAAGAGAAATGTTGACTTCTCAGCTAACATCCTGATCAAAGGAACTCATAAAGGATCTTTTGGAGATAACAAATATACTATCAAAGCTTCTTTTATTCTATTTCTCCTCTCTGGATGATGCAGATTTTAAAGCTTAGACTGGTTGGAAAAGAACACAGCTTTTAAAATTGTTTTCTTACTCTTCATCCTCAATTGGCACTGGTATTTATACTTCAAACTACGAGGATGAACAATTGTTGTTCTGGTTAAAAATGAAGATGGACATATCATGGTAACAGTGTTTAATTATTTTTAACGTATCATTTTCCAATATATCGAAAACATTTCGTTCCATAGTATTAGAAATATCAATTGTCTCTTGAACGTGAGCAACTTACAAGCGAAAACATTCTGGAGCACAACTCTGTGTACTCAGAAGCATTTCTTGGCCAGTGGACTTTTTTCTGCGAAGATTACAAAAACCATCATGGATAGTCTCTCCTGGCAGGAAAAAGATGGCAGCGTCGTTGCTGATCGAATGTTTCCAGTTTTGGAAACATATATGCCGTCTTATCTAAAACCTGGGCAAACTCAACATGAAAGCTAACATCGAGAGATCCAGAAACACTCCATGGAACTTCCACTATATAACCTTAACAAATTCTTCGTTGAACATTGTGTTTTAACTTCCACAGCTCTTAAACACGAGGAAGGCTTAGACCTGGGCTACCTCCTTTGTAACGTTACGTAATAGTGGAGTGCACTCATCCGCGACATTGACAAAATTGAAAGATTATGATATTTCCTTTTGTATATGACAATTGGAGTAAATATTGAAATATGTATTATCCGTTTGTTCACTGAACACTGAATATTTTTGATGTGTATTCTTTTATCCAGTGCACTATTTTTTTTACGCGGAAGCACACGGTAAGTCTGCTGACAGGTCTCTAGGCAATTATGGCGGGAAATTTTTATTTTTTTTATAGATTATGTGTGATTGAATCATGAAGTGATAAATATAAGCATTGAACTGCTTTCAATTAGCATTCATTGGCCTATGAATGCCAACTGGACAATAGCAAATTTAACCTGAAGCGGTAGCGCGCTTCATTAAATTTGCCGTTGTCTAGTTGGCATTCATAAGCCCATGAATGCCAATTAAAAGCAGTTCAATGCTTAAGTAAATCCAGATGGGTTATAGAGTCATATCACGATGATTCAAGCAATTCCAGCAAACTCCCAATAACTAGTTTTGGAAAATTTATTTCATACTGTTTGAAGATGTTTTTTTTTTACAAAAATACGAATGGACTCTAATATTTTTGACCTTCAGAAAATTTCGCTTAGTGTAGAAAGAGCAAGCTCTTTCTTAAAATCCATCACTTTTTTTCTCCTGTTCCCAATGAGTTCAAAACTTTTATTTCATGCTTTGCAGATATGATATATAACATGATATTATCAGCATGTTCATGTTTAGCTTTCTTTAAAAAAAATAAGAAATGATATTGTAGCATTTTCTCCAAAAAACATACATTTTTTTCCATCTATGGCACAAAAAGGGCGCTATATTTTGGCGTATAAAAATGTGTGGACTTAAATGCCTATTTGTAATCGTAACACTACAGAGACTATCAACGGCATATACAAGTTGTTGTATTTGCTTCTGATGTCATTTTGGAAATCCACCTTTGAATTATATGCCGCTTCAGATGCATCTTACCTATTTGGGACAAAATACCTTGTGCGAAATGTACAATGAAAATGTAAATTATTACGTTTTAAACAACCCGTCAACATATGTTTTCTAAATAAGCATGTAACGCCGTCGTCACTTTCTCGATTCTAATTTTTATAACATAGCATTACTTAGATTTCCTCTTATTGTAGATTAATATTCGTGAATATTCAGGAATAAATGAAATCGATAAACATAAGACAGAATAAGCGAACGCAATGTCATTCTATGTCAGTTCAGCTTAAGGTGTTGTATCGGGAGTCACGGACACGGTATCTTGGCGAGACATCACTGGCATATCTTAACGTGAAACTGAACAAACATGTCAGTCAAACTAGTTATTATCTTTCCACTAAAGCCCCAAAAGATGTGATCGAGACGTGATTCTTTTCAGTTTTTTATGCAGTTAACGCAGGTTTTCACGAAATTATCTTCTCTAAATGACAACATGTTTTTACGATCAATTCCTCCTTTGAAAAGTAAAGATCACAGAATATGACAACGCGTGGGAGTTAATGCTGCCTCAAAGTCCCCGGCTCATTAGTGCATTTATAAAAGACGTTATATATTGTCACGTCAGCACCGACTGACATGTCAGTATATTGCGTTTCCCCCAATCCCAACCCCACCCCCAACCAAATCCCCTATATTTGTATATATATCCATGCGGAGCCGATTTTAGTTATAGCACTAGCACTAACGTATGATAGATAAATAAATAAATACAGTTTTATCATTAAGATTCGAAATCACGGCAAATTTGCCTACAAACTTCAACTTTCACTGCTCGTGGAGGTTCTATATATAGAACATCGACTGTCATAGTTTGAGAGGACATTTCAAAATTAATTCTTGGAAATTATTACTTTATACTGAGCAAAATAATAACGACGCAGCTGTCGTACTTCAATCTTATTGACAAAAATAACATCGGTGCTCATAATTAATTAATCTTACAATGGAGTATGTCATAACACTGAAGAGTTCCGAAATTTGGGTGCAGTCTTAGACTCTTAAGAGAATTTGTGCCAGTGCTGCCATTTTACTGGTATATTTAACTGAAGTTGACATTTGAATGGAATATGCATTCAAAAAATGAAGTGGTATAAGGAAAGAGTTTTTAAAATTCCCGGGTTTTCATGAAAGAATGACAAACTTCTCGTGTAGACATTGATAATGTTTACAAACGTTCATAAACTGTCTGCTTTCAGTAAGGACAGATTAAAACCGCCTCATTATATCAAACAATATGTTTCCCAAGCTAGTTATGGATGGCCGCCAGATTTAAATCATGTACATTTTTCATTTATTTTGACTTAAAATTACAGGACTCTCTTTCAAACCATAATGTCTGAAAATCATTCAAAATAACATATTCAATTATGCATAATGAAATATGCATGGTTAAATCGATATAGCTTTTGATATTTAAATGTTCGATACATGCGTTTTTTTACCTTGAAATTTTCCGATATCTATTATTCATCACATTATTCTGTTAATGTTTGCTTTGGTAAGGTGTCATATAATATCTACTAGCTCCATCATAATTGAAACGACACGCTATGGCGCTATTTGTAGACAACTTCTGCCAGTTGCTTCAGCGATGCTCTGGTATTTTCAAATACGTGCTTTTTGTTTCATTATTTGTATTTCATTCACGTGCAATTGTAATTACGAGCTGGTCGGAATATTCTACAGCGAAAAACCAACGACTTTTTGAAAGTATGGACTTATTAACAACACCCAGTGTCGTGTCGTGTGCTGTAGAATGTGCCCGAATTCTACCTTGTATGTCCTACTCCTACAACGCTGTTAATAATACCTGTCTTCTCTACTCAATACCGTTCACAAAGCGTACGAAAACGATCGAGGACCAAGGATGGACAACATACAATATGATTAGTGGTAATGCTAGATTAATTCCTGTTGGTGAAGAAATAAGTGTCATTACAGTTTTCAAATTAATTATTGTACATGTTCTGTACTTCAATGTGCCTGTATAGGTTTTTCTATATTAATGTATTTTTAAATTAACCCATTTTTCTGAGGATATTTTTGCGGATTGTTATTTTTCTTCAGTATAATTCGTTATTGCTATTCTTTTCACAGCCGCCTGCCCTACGACAAAAGACTACTATTATAAACGAGATTTGAATCTGTGTTATCATCTGGCGAAACAACCAAGGAACATAACAGATGCTATGCTGTCTTGCTCTGTTGTTGGACGTCTCCTAAGAATCGACACGCCTCAAAAACAGGCACATATTGTTGAATTTCTAGGTAAGTATCGCGGTTACCAAGATAAAAAACGATATTTTTTTACACAGGTAACATTTTTAGTATTATGTGCATGATATTAATATTATGTCAAAAATGATTTGCTGCTTAAATATATAACACTTAATCAGCATTACACTTTGAATAAAAGAAAACAAATTACCATTTCGTAAAATCCCTCTGCAGTCAGTATATATGCAAAATGAACAATCGCTTTTTATGAAGCGATATTGGTTTGAAAGTTGTCCTTCAGTAACGCACAGTGATTCATTTATGTTGCAGACTCCTTTTCCGCCTCGCCGACGTATATAGGTGGACAGTCTGAAAACGAGACTGATATGTTTATGTATGACGATGGCACGCCTCTGAATTTCTTTAGCTGGCATCATGGAAACCCAAGAGGAAATAAAGCAATAACAATGAAGACAGATTATAACTATGCATGGAACAATGTTCCTGGCCGTGAAATCAGGCGATTTCTTTGTGAAATCCCTATGTAAAAGCAAAGTGTCTAGTTTTTGTTCACCTTAGATAACATTAAGAGAGAAAAATACAATGCTGGTGAGCTTACGTGTGAATTTCGTATTATTCTTTTTCACGTGAGAATTATTTTTATTTGGTCGTTATTTCAGTCGTTTCCATCATTTTGGATCATAAGTTTGATTTCCCTGCACTCTTTTTGTAGTTTTTTCCCTCACCACCATTTTGCTAATGATTTTTGTTACTGTGACGATGCCAGAATTATATATTGACACAGCTTTGAAAAGGCTTTAAATATTGACATTTTATAATCTGGCCCTATTGATGAATATTGTTTTGTTTCTGTAAATGTAATTGTCTCGCACCAATCCACCATATGACAGGATCATGGTATACATTGTCCGGCCGACCTGGAAGTTTTTGGTTTAAATCATTACTTGTCCACTATACCGGCGTGAATTTTTGCCAAAATTTTGGCTGGGATATCTCTGGTTGAATGATGTAAATTGAAAGCATCGGCATCCAAAACCACTCTGCCCCATTGAATATAGCTGTACCCACATCAAGAAATTTGGAAAAGTCTTATATTTTTATATTGTTCAGCTAATGGCGTTTTGGTGGAATTTGTCTTTAAAATACTTTGGGAGGGAAATATTGACTATGTAAAGACAAAGACAGGGTGTTTGAATGTCGGGCTGCTGTTAAAACAAGTTTTCTAAAACTGACTTTTAGAAATGATTAGTAAAGGAGATTTAAGGGCTAAATTGTTTTGATATGTTTGAAGTGTTCCTTGTTTGGTATCCCTTGGAAATATTTCACAATTACCATCATTATCATGAAGTAGCTATGATTGTAAAATACCTGTTATATGCGTTACTTCATTTTTGTAATTCATTTATCTGTTCCTTCGTTTAATTCATTTGTTAATTGATATATTGTATAATGAACACTGCATCTCCCTGTGATATTTACATGTCACAGTTGATTCGATACCCATGAGTCTGATCCCAGTATCACGATTTCGTGCAAGTGTCGTCAACTGACTGACAATCTCGTAACACAAGGATTCAAAAAAATTAATTTGTAAATATCTGTTAACTTCTTTGTGAAAACCTGTTGTTAATGAAAATCATGGGAGAGTTTTATGATCGCCATAGTGATCTCATTGAGAAATATTCTATTTCTTTGTACGACATGAAGCTATACGTATTTGATGCTCATTAGTTTGTCTTTTAGTTCCTTTGTTGTATACCTTGTTCTCATTTGAAAAAGTGGCATTTCTTACTTAGCTATGATTCAGTAGGATGTTTTCTTATAGACGTTTAAATACCAGCCAAAATCCGTTATGGTTGAGTGATTTCGTGTGATGTCCAAGTGATGGTCATGTCTCTATGAACGTTGTTAGTAACTTGTGTGATCGCCATTGACTAGGATAATGTCATTGGTATCTATAATATATTACGATATGGAGAAGTAAAATGTTTTCATAATTATGAACTTACAAGCAATGGTAAACATTTTTTGTTACTATGGACAGCATTTATTTCACTGCTGAGATATTTCTGAGGGATTTTATCAATTCATTGACGTCACGTTAACAATACATTGGGACCACAGGGGTTTTCCCAGTAAATTCCTTAACTAATACATGATATATAGTGACGCAACTTTATATCGTTTCTTTGGACTAAAACCTTAAACTTTTAAAAATAAAAACTTTATTTTACCTGGAAATAAAGATAAAATCTACCGTTGTAATAAACATGCTGGCGGTTCCCTTGTAGATCAATGCTATAAATACTTAAAAGACCTAAACCATTACCTGTGTAAACAATACTTCAATACGTTTGTACCCATACAATCAATGTGCAGTTTCAACTCCACATACAAATAAATTAAAACACATTTGTATGTTCAACCTCATGGGATAATTTACTCTGAATGGCGAGGCTACTTAAGTAATGTAGCAAACTTGTTTGCGTTATCAATATAAGATTTTAAAAATAAACCTTTCAATACATGAAGTAGATACAGTAGAGCCAAACAATGAAATCAATTGCTTCATACAGTTGTTCCGTCCGTTATGCTAAATTTTGAATCTAGTAGGCGTCTCAGAATAATCTAAAGTTTTATTAAGAAATGTCCAGATCTAGCATTAGCCTTATAATTCAATACATTTCGTTGTATTCATACATTTGACAATTTCCAAAAAATATCAAATTTACAAAAATGTATTAGTTTTTTCCTTCCGATATTCTGGCATATTTCTAACATGATTTATAAATGTTTATCCCTTAACCATGTCCATTTCATAGCCGATATGCGCGTGATAAAATTCGTAGCAGTGTGTTGTTTGTGTTTACACATTTTGTCAAGCATTTCTTCTTTTGCAAGCAGAATTGGCAGAAATTAATCTCTTTCTCACTCCCGATTCAATTGCTTCATCCATCACCTTGCTTCTTATAGTGACAGTTTGTCTCTTCTGACACCTCTTGAACATCTTTCTATTCTTACCTATCTCTCTTTCATACACCTCGTGAACATCTTTCTACACTAACTATCTCTCTTTCTTACACCTCTTGAACATCTTTCTGTACTATCCTATCTCTCTTTCATTCACCTCGTGAACATCTTTCTACACTAACTATCTCTCTTTCTTACACCTCGTGAACATCTTTCTACACTAACTATCTCTCTTTCTTACACCTCGTGAACATCTTTCTACACTAACTATCTCTCTTTCATTCACCTCGTGAACATCTTTCTACACTAACTATCTCTCTTTCTTACACCTCTTGAACATATTTCTGTACTATCCTATCTCTCTTTCTTACACCTCTTGAACATCTTTCTGTACTATCCTATCTCTCTTTCTTACACCTCTTGAACATCTTTCTGTACTATCCTATCTCTCTTTCACTCTCTCGTTGTTTCTGCATCTAAACCATTTCTTATTATATTGTCCGTAAAGTTTGTCTTAATGACGCAATATGTTATTTACCTCCACTACTTACCGACCGCATTTTCTCTTTCTTAAACTGTACTATAACTAATCTAAATTTTCACCTGTAGGTATTGAACTTTTCTATTACTGATGTTAATAAATATTGATAAGCTAATGTGCTGAAGGCCGCGAGTAAAGCGAACCTCGCTGGAACACCAAACCACTTCCGGATGTTCTAGTCAGTGATACTTCACTATTGTTACCTTATTATCGAGAGACATTAATCACCATGGTAAATGATATAAGTGTTTGTCTATGCACCGCATGTTTTCTGTAACTGTCTAGGTTCCTGATGTTCTCAATGTCGCCTAATGATTCATCATATGTCACGGTTTAATTTCATGCATAATATAGTTTGAATTTTAACTCGCTGACAATGCATCAATATCGTTTCCTCTATTGTTTCGTTAACACGTGTCACGCTCCTAATGTGTCTCGGGTATTGAATTGTGGAAATGTTGTAGGTGTTGCGATATTTTATGTGGTTGTATGTAAATAATGAAGTCATTTAACACAAAACAGTATAATACCTGTACTTGAAAACAATACCCGCTGTCAATATTTGAATGGAATGTGTAAATGTACATGCTGTGACGAGGTCGATAGTTTGAACAAACAAAAAGATATAACCACGAAGCGATATTTTCATCGGAAGGAATGCTGATGAGTTGTTATGCATTATATGAGCATACCTTTATTCAAGGTGTGAAAATTCAAATAATTCTATGAACGACACCTAACAATAAAGCTATTGACAAAAATGGTTTCGTTAAGTCATTGCATTTATAAACATGCGTTCATGTGCCAATCTTGACAAGCTATTTAGTCGGATGTTACAGAAAAAACTATCGACATGATCGACATCCTATCTGCTTTTTTATTGCCTGGTATTACTATGTGCCCTGGAACCCATCAAAAACATTATGAAATTTTGGGCAAATTCATGCTATAGTATTAATGTATCACGAATGAAAACACTGTCTATATTTCTATTGCTAAGACTGTGGTACAGAAGGAGAGTCTGAATAGATAACAGCTCTTATTACTTTGTTTGAATATGTTCAATGGGGAGTTAGATAGCCCAGCATCCATCTTGTGTAATAATTGCCGCGACAACCTTATCATTATCTTTTGAACCATCACAGTAACTAAATGTAGATTATTTTTTATATCTGAACTGCTATTTCGAGAAGGTTGAACGGAAGGTGCCGCTGTCAGTGTCTGAGTTAAGCATTTCATGAAGTGAGAAAGTCTATTTCATTTGAATTCAAGACCTAGGGTGGAATTTCTGTTGTTCCAAATGACTGAATTTGGTCAGAGCGGAAATCCGAATACCGGAAATTTGAAATGGCCTATGATTTGTTTTGAAACAAAGGTTAATATTTTGGATCAAATACAAGTGATAATTCAGGCTTTGAAGGATTTCACTGTAGCTGAATTGTGTATTGCAAAGCCAATTCATCTCGACAGCTTTATAGTGATGGTTCGCTAGCCTCCACATAGAGGCTTGCAGTAGGTGTGGTCTTAAAAGCTCCGAGAGCGAGCTTCAGACCCTGGTAATGAACACTGTCTAATAATTTGTGATATGAAGGTCTAGCAGCTCCATACACAATGGAACCGTAGTCTAATTTCGATCTAATAAGAGCTCTAAAATGTCTAAGCAAACTTTTCTTTCGTCTTCCCAATCACTGTGGAGCACTACCTTTAGAATATTCAGTGTTTTAGGCGATTGGCTTTAGGATATTTTATATGGTACAGGAACGATAATTTTCTGTCGAATATTACACCTAGGAATCAGGCTCAATAACTGGAATGGGTTCACCACAAAGAGAGAGATTTTGAATCGTCGTGTTATCTCCACATTTGACAAAAATGAATACAAACCTTTCCTGATTGTGAAAATTGAAATCCATTTTCATCTGCCTAAATATGAAGTCTATTGAAACGCTGTTGTAGTTGTCTTTCAATGGTGTTAATATGTTTAGATCGATAGCATATAATGAAGCCATTGACATAAAAAGCGCCCTCCTTTGAAGGGGATAATGTTTTGACAATACTGTTAATTCTAGGTACAATATATTACCTCTGATACCTAATATCGTGCAGATATTTCATTTTGTCGTATTTCCACATTGTGTCGTAATCCCTTTCCAAATCGAAGAAAGCCGTAACTACTTCCTTAGAAAAGCCTAACGCACAAAGGTTTCAATTTTCTTAAATCTACAACCACTTTGAAGGGGTCATATTATATTATTTGATTCTAGAAACCAAATTAATCTTGAATATATCCTCCGCGCCAGAGTTTTACAAACACAACTCGTGAGCGATATTGGGAGGTAACTGGAGGGATCTGTCGTATCTTTACCTGTTGGGGATAGGAATCACAACACAACATACTGCTGTCTTTTGCCTTATATACTAGTGGAAAAAAAGAAACTGTGCATGGGTATAATATGCCCTAACGTGGGAAGTATATAAGAAATTGCCAAAAAGTTTTCAAAATGTTTTTGTCTGACCTTTATTTAACACCGGCTCAATTCATATGGTTATATCGTCAGCAGATAAGGATCAATTTTCACAGGCGTTCTCTGAACAAAGTTCAGCTCATCAATACCACGTTTGGAATCAATGCATTTTTATCAACGAAGCATCAATGAAAAATGTCTTGAGAATACCATTCCATATTCTCACATGCGCACGTGACAGGCCAGGTAACGTCAACGGCTGATTGTGGGGGCGGCATAAGCAACGCAGCATCTCATACTACACGTGTTCTACAGGCGACATATCCGGTGAATTGTTGGCCAGGGCAGCATATTCACATTCCTGCCGCTTGAAGGGTATGTCGTCTACACCAGGCTAAACGTGCTACACGATGACGTTGCTGGAGAACAGGACGTATAGCTGTAGGCCTCATTCAAGCAATCGGTTACTTACCGTTCGATGACTAAAGGTCGGGAATACTTCTAGCCGTCAAAGAAACAGTTCTGAGTCGTTCACGGAGATGAAGGACCAGGATATACGTATCCTAGCAATTCGACCTTAGGCGTGGACGTCCCGACCGCAGGGCGAAGTTATAATAATGAGTATTTGGTTGACAACATCTTCGTCGAGTGTGGTAGTAAGATTTTCCAACAGACTGTTGACATACCTGTGGGAACCAACAGAACCCACTATGTTGGCTGACTTGTCGATTTATTGAAGAGCTTATCAAAACAGGTCACAAGACCTTGCAAAGTCGTCTAATTTCACCTTCAGGTATATATAGATAATATAAAGATTTACACGGAGACTTCTGAAAAAGTACAACAAAAATAAGACCAGGTGTTCCGGAAGAGAAAGCATCTTTTGTTTCATCGACGACACCCGCCATGTAAACCGTGGCTTACACAAGTTATGTCAGTTCTCAAATTAGAACAAGGTACACAACAACGGAACCAAAAGGCAAACTCACGAACACCAAATACGTCCAGCTTCATGTCGCACAATGAAATAGAATATTTCTCAAAGATAAAACTATGGCGACCATAAAACTTCCACCATAATTTTCATCAACCTGGATCTTTTGAACCCTTGTATAACGACTTTGTCATTCAGTTGACGACTTCTTTCACGACAATCGTGATAATGGAAGCTGGCCTTTTAATATTGAATCAACTCTGACATGTAAAACCATAGATTAAAATTGCTATCCATAAATGGAAAATTTACAAGAGGAAAAAATGGAGGTCGCATTTTGAATTGACTTTTTATGTTATGAAATAATGAGATGACATGGAATTAAACACCAAATGTTGATCACTCAATCATAAATTGATCAGTCACCAACAAAAAGCATATATCCTTCCATTTGGATGATGGCAGATTTCGCTGATATGTTTCTCGTTTTTCTTTTAGAAGTCCATTCTAAATCATGTAACATTAATATCAGTTCCCAATGTGCTTGTGACCTTTATATCTCGCATAAGAAAATTCGCGCCAATTTTCCGGATCCATTGCGCCAGTGATAATTTGAATCTTGTTGCATTCTGATGTAAGATTTCCCATCAGGGCTATGATTATCCCAGTAAGTAAATGTCAAAATCGTACCATCTTCATATACAAAATTGTTATCTTTGTTTTCAGAGCGTCCACCAATCCAAACAACAGTGGATGTATTGGATTCACGGGAACCTGGAAAAAAGGACAAACGTTAAATTTTGATCACTCTTGTGTTGATTATTAATTGATATTTTCTTTTTCATTTTTCTTTTACAAGCAAATACCTAAATACATGAGTCATTCATTTTCCAAACAAAATGGTAGTGACATTATAAAATTTTATTCACGAAGATGAAGTGAGATGTAAAGGTGACGTTTTCTCTTTAATGCGAATTCATCTAGATATAACAATAATAAAAGCATATATGAAGCATTTTACTTTGGCTATTTTTCATACATCTATTGACTTACGGAGAAAATCAGTGATGTGCTGTTGTTTCTCTATCGAATTAACTCTGATCATTTGTCCACCGTCAAGTCTACAGAAGTCCATGGCGTCAACAGGTTTTCTTTGTTCTTCTGTCACTAAGCGATAACACCAGTCTAGGTTTTGGTTGTAAATGTAACCGCGATCAACTGGACAGTCGGCTAAAACAAACATGTAAAATGTGATGCCATTAAAAGTAGACAGGACCAATTACCCTAAACGATCACCTGACTAATCTCAAACGAGCTGCAAAGAGCCATATAAGTTGCATCAAATCGATCCCACTGTTGAACTCCTCTGAAATCTTAATGATATAAGGATACATGCGAAGTTTCTTCAAAATCTGATAATATTTCTGAAATTCTCGCATTCACTGTTCAATGTAATAAAACTGCGAAAGGCCATAAATCTGTAAATTACCATCGACTTGTTTTCGAAGTCCTCTGAGATATTGTTTAGACATGGCTGCATACAAAATTTTATCAAACTGGTTCATTGTCACTCAGGTTATGGTCATGTGACCTAAAAAGTAAAGTTTTAACAATGAAATTGCTTTGCATTCGTTAGCAAATAATCGTTTTGCATTTCGTTTCTATCATAAAAATATCTTTTTTCGAATGATTTTAATCCATATTACTTTACTTAAAAATTTCACCGAATTTATTTTAATCATATAATAAGTGCTAAATTTTTACTCTTTATTAACCTCAATATTTTCGAACACCATTGAGCCTTCGTACAGGAACAAGGATTTTTCCATACTTTTATTTGTATTAGCCTATTGGTTGTTTAAATGAATAAAGGTGATATAATTTTATTATCTTTTGCTGTAAAGCAACGGAATTAATTGTGAATTGACTTCACCAAGACCTGAGCGAAATCTTATTCTCTTTAATTTTGGTATATCAAACTAGTAACCAATAGTTCTTGAAGTCACTGTCTACATCATTTATCATTCAGCCATTACTGGCTTGGCATATAATGCTTATACTTTTGCAGTAAGTCGTTAATTCTTGATAGTACAGAAAGATTACTCAGTGCACGATAACAATGCAAGATTCCGAGCACATAATTAACAAGAACAATCTACTTATTAACAATGGCATGTGTTTTTTCTGCAGTCATTGTGTCGAGAATGCACAGAACATAAAATATAAATATGTTTAAACACTTCATTATTTATTTGTAAAAACGTGTTTTTGGTATTTGAATTCTGACGCTTAAGCGGAAATTATTGCAATTGTTTTTAAACAAACAAAAATGTAGATATCATGTATCTATTGTGCTGTGATTGTTTTTGCGGACGTCGTTGTTTTCTTTGTTATCTTGATTACATTCATTTTGATAATTTTAAAATAGAGAAATCTTTCCGCCTTTTTAAAATAAAAAAACTTCACGGACGTAAATACTACAACCTCTAGTCCAGGGTATGTATCACCACCGAAAATATGTATTATCATCCATACAATACTACATTTACCAACGTTTAAAATTTGACAAAGTGTATTACCTCCTTTTATTGAGTAAGACTTCCATCCATCTTCTGTGACGGTTCCCTCCATGCTAGCATTGAACAGGACAGTGTAAACAATACAACTTTTGCTAGCATTGTTGTACGATAGGGAGAGACATGCTGCATTACTGACACAGCTTAAAGCACATGTTAAGACGCTCTCTGTTGACAATACGACACTTAAGCCATTCCTTAGTAGGAGGTTTCGCAAGGTCAACATTTCAGTCAAATCTGAGAAGATAAACTCGCTTGCACTGCATGCAAGGATAAAATATAAAAAAATCAAATACGAAACCATATTTCTTCATAGACTTTGTCCAATGGTTGAATGCCACTGAATAGAAGTATTACCTGATAGCAATTAACTAATCAGGCAATTTTCCCACTTTGTTGAAATGAAGGATTTCCTGTAGACCGTGCTATAGTAAAAATCAATAAATTTGATGTTTACTCTTAAAATTTTTTGACGGTTGCCATAGCTAATACACCACATTGTGAAATAAAGTTATTGTCATTGTTTAAAATGATGCTAGTAATACGTACTTGTCAGACTAATTACACAGACTGTTCAAGCAGTACAACGCACAGGTGAATAACATATATTTAAAGTTGGATACAGTAGAGATAACAAAGAATTAAACCCAATCATTTGAAAGCTAAGTGGGAAGGCACATTAGTCCCACAATTCAATAAAACGGTTGTCGTAGCCCAGACTAAATTGAAATAACATGCTTAATTGTACATTCAACTTTACTCTTTAAAAAAAATACCAACTATCGCGTGCGCGCCGAGTGTCGCGCAATGACCCGCGGCCGCTGAGAAGCTCCGGGCATGCCTACAATCTGCCATAAAAACAAGGGGTATATAACCCTTAACGGTCATCTGACAATCGACTATTTCTTTGTGCTAGACGTATTAGATGCTCGTTAGTTTGCCGGTTTGTCATGTTCTTGTATACGTTGTTCTCATTTAGAGCAAGACACTTACTTGGAATTACCCCGATTTACATAACGGATGTCGATGGAGCATTAAACGCTTTCTTTTCTGTAACACCTGGTCTTATTTTCCTTGTACTTTTCCAGAAGTCTCCTTGTAAGTCTTTATTTTATTCATATTTGCCCTCGTTATATTGGATTTTATGTTGGATAATGGTTATGTTGGCATGTTGGAATTTTCTTCTTTTTTTTTTTTTTTTTTTTGATACTACAAAGAATTCATTAATATCTTCATTCTTTACACTCACATATAAAAATGGCATTAATCGGTTCATTCATTCAAATGGATTAATCATAACTATAGTTTATGTCATTTTCCAACGTTCACGCATTTTCTTCATTATTGTCTTTCTTTATACAATACGTGCAAAAAATGGTCATAGCCTATCCACGGGGCAACAAAGACCTCGTATCAGACAACCATGCCAGTGGTAATGGATTATGTGGACGGGCCGTTAAGACTGTAATAATAATAATAATTTTCTAATAGTAAGGTAAGTTGATTAATAAAAGCCTGGACATATTCTATATACGTTGCGATATTTTCACTAAAATGGCGAAATTACCTATTGTTATGTTCATTGTTTTCTTCCGAACTTCATTCACTCCTAATTTGTTGTGAGACATAGGTTCTATTAGTGTTGAGATTTGTAAAATTCTACATTACCTGAAAGACGTTGGTCTATATAATATACTATGACGTACCATTTTAATCTTTTGTGTTAACATACCCATTTAAGATTTTTAACATTTGTCTTTTACCTTTTGGTTTGTTTAATGTTATTTCTTTTTGGATCACTGTGTGTTTTACCGTTTAATTTAATTGGGGAATATACGGCAGGAGGGGATTTAAACAGCTGTGGGAAAGTACTTAATATCGGTAGTAAAACGGTGCTAGGATGATATCTGCCTTTATTATAGACTTATTGTCCATTGGTAAAATAAAGACGTTTTCGGAAAGAATTCATCAGTTTCTTGTTAACATATGACATCATGGCGGGAATATTGGATTTTTACCTACTTAAAATGACATTGACATCTTCAGATACGTTATTATTATTATTATTACATTATTAACGGCCCGTCAACACATAAAAGGTCATAAGGGTCATCAATGATGAACAGTATCTAATAATTTGAGATATGAAGGTCTAGCAGATCCATACACAATGGAACCGTATCCTAATTTTGATCTAGTAAGAGTCTTAGCAAAACTTTTCTATCAGCGCCCAAACCAGTGTGGGGCACTACCTTTAAAATATTCAGTGTTTTAGGCGTTTGGCTTGAGGATATTTTATCTGTCGAAGGAACGATCATTTCCTGTCGAATATTACACTTAGGAACTTGGTTTGCTCAACAACTGAAATGGGTACACCACAAAGAGAGGTCTTGATAGTCGTGCTGTCTCTGCAACTTACAAAAATGCATACAAACTTTTTTTGGTTACGAAAATTTAAACTAATTTCCATCTGCCCAAATTTGGAGTCGATTCAAACATTGTTGTAGTTCAGTGGTATTCAGATGCTGAGATCGACAGCATATAATGAAGTTATCGACATAAAGAGTGTCATCCATTGAAAGGGATAATGTTTTGACAATACCGTTCATTTTAAGTGTAAAAAGTGTTACCAAGAGAATGCCTTGTGCGCTGATTAACATCGGAAAGGATCGTTCCATTCCGGACTCGAAATGTCCTATCTGATTGAAAAATTCGGAACACAGTTTGGAAGATTACCTTTACTACCTATATCTTGCAGAGATTCCGTTATGCCGTATTTCCACGTTGTGTCGTAAGCCTTTTCCAAATCGAAGAAAATCTCAACCAAATGTTCCTTCTTTCATCTAGCAAAATGATAGTTGGTACCTCGCTTAGACCTAAAAACCACTTTGTAGGGGTAATATCATGTGATTGAATTCTAGATACCAAATCGATTTTGAATTTATCATCCGCTCTAGAGTTTTACAAACGCAGCTCGTGAGTGGTATCGAGCGGTAACTAGAGGGATCTGTTATATCTTTACCCTGTTTGGGAATAGGGTTGCGTAGTGAATATCATCAGATCATGTTGCAAAGTCAAGTGATTTTTTTAAAATGATTCTTGAAGTTCTAACATTGAGAAAAGTTTATTGTTAGTTTCATTGTTTTCGGTAAAGAATTTCAACTTTTTCTGGGATGGTTTTAATTTTTTAAAATTTGTTGGAATTATTATATGCAGACGAAGGTTTGGAAAAAGTAGATGCTAAAGCATTTGCAATATCAAATTTTGATGTGGCTAATTTTCTATTTGTTTTCAGATGTCCTATTGTTTTGAATGATGTTTTACCGCTGATTCGTTTAATCACATCCCATATCTTTTTCATGGATGTATTACTTCCCTTTGTATAACATAGTCAATGTTGGCTGTGTGTGGAAAAGTCTTGTATGTTCAAACCTCTCCCCGGTAACTTCTGTCACTACAACATTCAATATTCAGAATTCGCCCACTACGAGATGCGATAAATTCTTGAATGTTGTACATCACGACATACATTGTACAATGTTTAGAGTTTGAATGTTTCGCACTACAACATAGATTTATAATATTCAATATTAAGAATTTGAATATTGTGCATTACGACATACTTTTATAATTTGAATGTGGCACTCCAAGACAAATACCATTAGGAAATTCAATGTTGTGCGGCTTGACATATTTGCACTATAGACAATATTTAGAGTTTGAATAATACATACTATATACAACATTCAGAACATACATCCAACACACTCAATTGTTAGTTTCTATTTTGTTCCAGATACAGTTCTCAAATTTTACTGATAAACAGTGACATTCTGTAGTGACCCTGTAGTGGTTTGGCTCCTTGAAAGTTACGTACCATTAGTCGCTATGGTAGTAGTACTCGGAGGGTTTCGGCCAAGGTTTACAGAGGGACATCGTGTATGATTTGAGTCGTTATATTAGCCATCTTGTGAGATGAGCCATGGTCAGTTGTGTCACGTGCTTTGATAGGTCGAGGCTTCAGCATTGGAGCTAATATCTGAGTCATATGGTTACATTCGGTTTTCGGTCCGAAGAGGTCACTGGGGTCAGGGCGTATATACCGTTTACAAACTCTCTTTTCAAAAGAAATGATTGACAGTATAGAGATGAACTATATCGAAGCGGGGTTTTTTTGCGAATGAATAAATACGTCCTTCGTCATAGAGTATAAAAGAAAATAGTATATTACCAAATGAGATGATAATGCTGAGCGTATTTTTCCCTTATTTCATCAACCTGCAACTCTTGAAACGCTGTGTTGTTTCTTGTCAGTTGATGACATGAGAATTGTAATACCAAGAACAAACTTCGATAAATACAGCCTCGTATGAATACAAAAACAAGTTGGCCAAAAGAGGGGGGTATTTTAATAATATGATAGAACTCTTAGTAAGAAATTAATGGGATGTTTTTATTTACTTCAGACAAAAAAAACAAAGAATGTCATATCATATCTCAATATACTATATGTATAAAATGCATACATACGCCCTGCGTATATTAGTAGATGCGCATTCATATTAATGTTGCTCCCTGCAATTGATGTAGTCATGTAAAATACACATGGTGCCAATCTATAAAGCAATAGCACCAGGAAATGAGATTTTCTACTGCAGCGACCCGACTGTGTTGAATAGTTACGTTCCGTTTATGAGAGAGGTTATTCCAAGAGCAATGCTACGTATGATTACAACAAAATGTTGTTATATAATGGTACCTGACCTTATAGACAATATCTTCCAAAACTTCTTCCTTTCATATCAAATTAGACTGAAATAACCGGAACCCAACATTTGCGGTCACCGAGTAAATTTCCTGGCATATGACTATAAATATAATACTTATCGCTAGGTGAACATGGTCTTTTTATCTTTGTATTTCTTCACAGGTCTCCGTGTATTTTCCATAGTTTAACATAATTTAAGTTTGGGTTATGATGCTCTTGACATGGCTATTTTTGTTGATGGGACGTCGTTAATGAAGTAAAGTGGATTACAGTAAAATCAGTGAAGA